CTCTGTCTGCAATTCAACTACATTGTTGCCGTCAGTTCTTGGCGGTCTTATATACAAGAATACCGAAATCTAGTAAACATTCGAGGCTTCACGAACCTTCGAGAATATGACATGTTACTAGCGTGACGTGACCCCCGCTGTCGTAACAATATAAATAAACCCGATTGCCACAATATAAAGATATTATTAACGTTGCATCATAAACATATGTTCTTTCGAAGTTTCAAAATTAATATTTTCATGATTACAAATGAGAATATAATGCAACGAAGATCACAAGGTATATTTTTATAATTTCTACTATCTTCAAAAATTATTTGTTAGCTGTGTGTCACATCAACACAAAAATTAAGCTACTTTCGCAGTTTTTTTTAATGTTTTATGCGGTTAGAAATTCAAAGATGAAGATTTTCTAATGTTGATTGAAAATATAATGAAATGGTTCTTATTAGAAGAAAATGTGTATATGTTTTCCCTAAGGGTGTGTTATTTTTAGCAAAGCCTCATCAGGCTATCTACTGTGCACATCGAGGGGAATCGAACCCCTGATTTTAGTGTTGTAAATCCGTAGACTTACTGCTGTCCCAGCGGAGGACTTTTCGTAAAGAAAATAATATTTCATAACTAAAACCTGACACATCTAAAAAAAATAATATGTCTATTAACACTTTTGTCAAATGTTTTAATGATTTTATCATAAAAGTCTATATCGATGTAAACATAAAATTATATTTTACTAAAACTGTATCCTTTGAAAAAGACTTGGACAAAATATATATATATATTAATTTGGAACGTTTCTGCTTTTCATAATTAAACAAGATCGTATTTATATACTACCAGAAACGGAGTAGCAAAAACTAATCAGTTTTCGTCTAAGTTACTGTTTGTTGTACCTCTAACTTTGTAATTATGCATTACACGTGTAATTAGATAAAATGTGCACGAGTAGACATTTAATTTTATGTTTTTTTGTGTGTGCTTCCTTATTTTTAAGTACACTTATTTTCGCCAAAAAATCAGACAAAAATGAAAAACCTTCATGGGCGAAAAAAGATATCAGAGATTACAATGATGCAGATTTAGAAAGGTTATATGATCAGTGGGAGGTAGGCTTAAAATGAATTATTTAACACTAAGTTAAACGTTAAATAGTTTAATTAAATTTAAAGATTAACTTTTAAAGAACTGTTTTGTTACAAAACAAATTGTTTACAAATTAAATTATTGCTGTCTTGACAAGCAAAACGATGAAGCACCTTAAGCTTAACAATAACAATACTAATGTTCTATAAAATTAAGAGTATAATTTGCATAATTAACTAAGTATTGTAACATTTACATTTTTTAACATGTAAGTTACTTGTGTAGTCACTGGGGCAATGTTACACCCCATGGTCGTTATTTTTGTATTAGACATAACTAAGTCAAAGTAGCATGACAATGCTGTATCAGTTATTAATAATGGCTGGAGACGGCTTGAATGGGTAATGAAGAAAAAAAAAACTTTAATATAACAGCAAATGTACAACGTTTCGACAAGGTTTTGTCATCATCAGGTACGAAAGGTTGTACATTTGCTGTTATATTAAAGTTTTTTTTTTCTTCATTACCCGTTCAAGCCGTCTCCAGCCATTATTAATCTCAAAGTGGGTTCCTCGTCATCGAAAATAATA